TAGCCCGTGAATAGGACCACAGCAGAGGCATTTATACCACAATCCACTATTATAATCTACATATTTACAAATCCTATTTGACTTTTTTAAAGACATGGGTAGCTAAGCAAACTGTCAGTACAGGTAAAAGTCTCTTCATTAGTGATGGCACTCACAAAAACATCTGTAAATATTAAATGGCCTCCAAGCAATCACCAAATTATCATTACCCAGTGTTACAGCTGTAAGAGACAGGCAGAGGGATGGACAGTAACTGCCTACTGATGCTAGGGATACTCTGATTACTGTAAGACTATGGAAGCAGAATGTCAACACAATCTTTTTCATGTGAAATCTCATTACCAACGCAATTTATATGACTGGCAAAATGCAAGGTAAAATCCTAGCAACACACTTTAGTGGTATTTTCTTTACAATTCCAGCTAATTTCAACGTCATGATGAAACACGGGCTGAAGGTGACTGTTGGCAATTTCAGTGGCCTTAGTATCAATTGAAAGTGTGGTACAAACAATAAACACAGACATCTACTTAAAATGCAAGGAGACATACATCCTGTGAGTCTTATCTGGAGTTCAACCTGGAATCCAAATCTCCCTAACTCCTGGAGAGAAAAAAAAAATTCAACCCTGAACTGGAATGATACGACTGCAACAACCGAACTGTTGTCACAAAACTGTTCTCAATCGTACTTCAAACTTGCCACATGGATTAATCGGCAGTTAGAAGCAGCTGCAACACCATGTTCTGTGCACTTCTGTTGCCATTTTAATTTTTAAAAAGCAAATCGAGAGGCTCTCCACAAAATTCAATGCCGCAATAGCAATGACTGAACCAGAATCACAAAATTATGAACAGTTCACTAAATTGTCTATTAGGAACACATATCAAGAGGCTGCAGAACAAATTGGGTGCCTGAAATAACAGATCAATGAATGAAGAATAAAGAGATGTAAGAAGTGGAGACGTTGACGAACCATTGTAATTTGTGAAGAATCAATTTCCATACAGCCAGAGTAATGGCAGAACATCACAGATAGTGTATTCATGACTTTTAACAGCAAAAAATCATGGATTACCAAATGGAAATTTATTAATGCTCCCAGAAAGAGAGTATGATGTCGTAATGCAAGGTCAGGAAGTACACCTAGTTCTTTATATTATTAAAACACAATAAAAGCAGCCCACAATATATATGCACAGTTAAAAAAAAAAAAAAAAAAAAAAAAAAGCGGCCTCCCTTGGCAAGGATGTGTAAAGAAAAGTAAAAAAAAAAAAAAAAAAAAAAAAAGCGCGCTGCCTTGGGCAGGATGTGTATATCCTTTAAAAATTAGAAAACCAACATAGAATGACTGAGCTAACAATGGAAGCTACTTTATCATCTCACTGTATGTCCAGCTACATGAATGTTCAGCCACAAATACATATTAGAGAACTCCTAAAGGCAAAGGATGATGTTTCAAAGCAAAGCCTAAGGCCAGATTTTACTACATCACCTTACGAGTTATACAAGCTGCTGCTTCTTAAGCTATCACAGTTTGCTAAACACGTTACCCTGGACTACAAAACGGCTAATCAGAGGGTAATATACCACTTCTGTACTATTCAACATCTACATCAGTGACCCACCAATCTATGGCACAAAAGAAGGTTTTATCTATGTGAACAAGTGCCATGTGTCCTGCTGGTCAGTGTCCCCTGTGTTCTCAGGTAACTATATAAACACTCATAGCGCCAAAAACAGACAATGGAGCATTTATAAATTTGTGGCTTGTCCGAATAACTATGTAGTATGAAGGACAGCCTGAAACACCAATGAGTATCTTTTTTCTCTAAAAACACAAAACAAATAAACAAGTTGGAACAATTCACCTTGTCAGATTCCTGACCTCAAACCTTCCCTGCCTACCAATATAAACAAATTGCATTTTCAAAGACTACTCAAACCTGAACACAGAGAATGACTATAACTAAGGCAAAACACACAAGACAGATCACAGGTGTAAGGCACCCGCTCCATGAACGCATCCCACCTCCTGGTTAACCAAAAATCACAAAAAGTTGTTCATACTAGTATGGGTTGAAGCTGTGGCACTCACTATCCAGATGCACAGAATGAGGAATTTGATGATGTTGCCAAACATGTACAAGAAGGTGTGGTGGCACAGGAATCCACATGGAGACATACTAATCTTTATAGTTGTGCCTTGTCCAACTCATTTATTTGGAAGATGCGGATATTTGGACAATACAGTCACACACAGACCACAGAACAGGTGCCATTCTGTTTCCTGTTGGAAGAAATGTGTATCAAGTAACTTAGACAACGCAACAGATTGGGCAATAGCACATTTCCTGCCTTCGAAAAACATACAGTTGAGGCAAAAGGACACGAGAAGCAGCAGAACTAGCTCCCATCATCTCCTCCCCTACCACAGTTCTCACAGGAACGATGAGGAGGAGGTAAAAAACAAGGTTCTTCAATCCCCAGTAACAAAGCTCTGGCAGGACAAAGCAGTGCTGAACAGCTGGGCAGTTCCAACACATCCAGCACAGAACCCAAGCTGTCCCCTTAATGAAACGGAGGGGCTGAGCCAGCCTCTGAGCCCCAGACCACCACTCAACAGAAGCTGGCAGGGTCAGCAGTAGCTCTTCATCACAGTCTCACAAGGAGAAAGGCTGTCTCCATCACAAAGCCTCTTTGGGAGCCACAGAAAGGAACTGGGAGACAGACTAATCCACATTACCTATCCCACTAAAGTCACAGCAGCCTGGCCTGCAGTAGCTTTTCATTTTACCTGAATCACAGACTCATAGAATAGTTTGGGTTGGAAGGGACCTTTTAAGGTCCAAAAATTAAAACCTGCACCACTGAAAATCCACTATGGTTTACCAAAGAATCAGGATCATTTGAGCAATTATTCTCAAAGAACAGAAATTCTTTCTAACAGAACAGAGTACATATATTTAAATGGAGGCTTGTATGTGTAAAAATACAGCATTGCATGGCCCTGTGGTGTTACACTGAACACACGTGAATCTCCCTTTTTCTTTCCTCTCCTGGTTTACTGCTGTCCATTGAGCCTTTACTTCCACCTCTCTCAGCCTCTCCAAACTAATGCTGCTGGGAATTCTTGGACCATACCTCATTCAGCTACGCTGGTTAAGGACAGATGAAATGTTATTCCTGTTGATCAAGACAGTCAGAGACTTCTGCCATGCACTCCTCTCTTGAGCCTGCATGCTCAGTGCCTATAGAATTTCCCAGAGCCTACCCTGCTATACCTAGAAAAGGCCACCTAATAAGACATTTCTTCAGCTTTAACAAATGCACTCTTGGCAGCACAAGAAATCACATGAAACCATTTGGTGATAAATTTAAGTATATACTTATTTATCCATCCAAGAAATTCAATCAAGATGCTTTATACTATTTACTTTGCAACAGCGCAGGACTGGCTGTCATGTCAGACATGTTAGTTTTCTTTTTACTGTTTAGTAATAGGGGATTCACAAGAAGTTGGGAGTAGGCACAGCCAGGACAGCTGATCCCAATGACCAAATATTTCATACCATATGACATCATGCTCAGCAATAAAAGCTGTAAGAAAGAAAGAGGAAGGGGAGGGACATTCAGAGTTATCTTCCAATAAGGTATTTGTCTTCCCAAGTCACCACTATGCAAGAAGCAGCCCTGTTTTCCTGGAGACAGCTAAACACCCGCCTGCTCATGGAAAGCAATGAATTTATTTTTTTTCTTTGCCTTTTTTTTTTTTGCTTTGCTTGTGCACACAGCTTTTGCTTTACCTATTAAACTGTATCTCAGCCTACTACAAATTTTTTCCTGTATCCCAGCCCACGACTTTTCTCACTCTTACCCTTCTGATTCTCTCCCCCATTCCATGGTGGGGGGAGCGAGTGAGTGGCTGTGAGGGGCTGAACTGCCCACTGGGGTTAAACCATGACAACAAGAAAGTTTAAAACACAAAATCTCTAAACATGCACAATCAAACATATCTCTGAGTAGCCTCAATTGATGTAACAGAAAGACTAAGTGGGGAATAAATGTGGTTTATCCTTATTAAAACAATAACACTAATGAAAGCAGAGAAGTCATGAAGCAAAGACAGTTTTTGAATGACAAGCCATAATGATTCCAACAGAAACTGCTGGGCAACGTTACACAGTTTCTAAGAAAAAGACCCTAGTTTGTGCACAAAACTGTGCATCCTGTTTCTCTGAAAGCCATTCTGATGTGAGCAGCATTACTACCTAGACGTCAGCGTGCTGAGGCTGTTCTTTGTCTTGGGCAGCGGAGGCTGTGACAGTGCAAGGAGGAACTCAGCACACACGGTTCTGCACTCACTGAGATCAGATGCCTTCTTCTCAAGTCAATGCTCTGAATTCTAAAGCATTACAGTAAGTACGGCACTGAAATTAGAGTCATTTTTACATAGAAAGGGAACCATGGTCAGTTGCTTCTACACTTACTACATCCCTACAAAAAGCCTGGGAAGTACCAGTAGCATCCCAATATCTAATATATCAAGACATATTTAATCAATTAATCATCAGATCTCTACTTAGTCTAGTGGCTCCTCCTACCTCTTAGTAACATGAGAAAACCAGCCAATGCATTCATCTTCAGCTAGGAAAGACAATGCTAATTTTGCACCTAGTGCTTTGCCTTGAGAAGAAAGTTAAAGAAAATCCTGCACTGTATAATATTCCACATTTTGTGTAATTTACACGATATTCTACTTTGAACACATACTAAAGTCAACTTGTAGTCTAAATCACACCTTAAGCTATACAGCAAATAATGGAAATTACTGTTAGAGAATCAACACGCAACAAATCCTGAAATACCTTCCGTTAAATGACTGCAACCTCACTGAATCTTTCTTAAGAGATAGAAAAGTATCATTTCTACAGAAACACAACAAAAAACATAGCACACCAATATATATACGCATGCATACATGCACACAATTACTGTACCTCTCCAAGAGCTTCATAGCGCTTCTGGTTCCATCTATGCAAATCTTCACGATAGTTAAATACAAATGGCTCCCCAGTTTTTATGTGTCTCAGCTGCCCTTCTGTAAACCAAACAAAATCATTACAGTTCAAAAAAATTAGATCATTACAGTACATTTTCAATAAGACACATTTATTTGCTGAAAAATTTAAAAGAAGTCTGCATCTAAACATTGGGCTATTATGAATTCCTTCTCTTTTGGTTACAGTGTTTTTGAAGGAAAACAACTGTAGCATAACAACAAAATGCACTCCCCTTGAATGGTATCTATTGCTAGATCAAGCTAAACACAAGTGATGACAGTGAAATTACATATCAAATGTCAAACTGCTTTGCAAGTTTGCTACAGATTAACACTGAAATGTAAACACTAGCAGTTAATATTTGATCTGCAGTGTCAATTACGTGATCAAATTGTAGCTACAAATCCCCTACTTCAAAACCAATTGCGTTTATGAAGAAATGTGAGTATAAACCGGGCTGGAGGTTGGAAGGAAGGGAAACATTTCTTTTCAAGATTAACAACATTCCAAGTTAATCTGAAAAAGCTCATGTCCACAATTAAGGTATACACTTCAACTCCCAGTCACTGTGCAAACAAGCAAGAGCTCTTAGATTGAGAGTACTCTGAGATTACAACAGCAGAACAAAGCAGAATGCTTGATCACAGCAAAACCACATGCTATTCTTAGATTTCCATGTAACTTTCTGCAGTTGGCTTTGTTCATAGCAAAAGTTCAGTAGTATACCCAAGTACAGATGAAGACATGGACCGAGTTACAATAACAATAATAATAAAATGGCAACGAAATAACAAGCAAACTGCAGAAAATGGGTATCTTACCAGTAACATTTCAACTTATCAGACAAACCCCAAGTTATGGTCTCGGACCATCATAAAATTGCAGTGAATCAGAGAAACATTAAAAACAGGAATACATACAAGTATCTCCTTTGAAAGCTGAAATGTCTGCATGATGAAAGTAAGGTTTCCCAGCAAAATGTTTCTTCTTGAACAGTAAGAAACTGCTGACAGTTCACACCTTTTCAGGACCCTTACATTTTGATTCCTGATGTTTTAAATAAAATATTAGACATATTTCTACTAGTTATGTTTATCTGCTTATTTGACATTTTTTTCCGGACCTGTCCTCCCTCATGTACTAGACATTAGCCAAATATTTCTCCCCCAACTTCATATCCCTGTCTCAGGTCCAAGTATCCTCCTTCTCGTATTTTCATCATAACTCTACCTTCAGCTGTTCCTTCTCAGCTATTTACTCTTCAAGTATGCTATTCAATAGTACATGAAGTTGCTCTGTCCACAAGTAAAGTGGAGTAATTATCTGATACATTTTTTTCTTTGGCTTTCTGGAACCCTTGTCTTCTTCAGATTCTTTACAACTGATAAAAATCTTCCTTACTTTTCTATCATAAAAAGAAGCATGATTATGACACAAGAGTACATGACTGAATATTTGAACTAAACGTACAAGAGTAAAATGGAGACCTTATTGTTTTGCTGACCAGTAACATATGCAATAGGTTTTGCTGCCTTCTATGGAAATCACTCAGGCTGTGAGGTTACTGATGGAATATTCAGTAACATCATTCTAAAACATCATTCCCCAAAATTCAAATTTCAGCCCTTTTTATCAACCACATATGAACCATTAACTCTGAAGTCAGTAAGGAAGACAGTAGACACTGTGCAGATCTAAAAATAAGGAGCTGAAAAGTGACAGAGCTGAACCCCTCCCATCAAAGAAAGAGCATCACTTTCATGACACTTTTAGTCTCTAAGTACCTTCCTGTGAAAGCCATCAGGGTATTAAAAAGCTAAGTGTTGCATAAATGACTATCATTTAAAGGAAAGCTCTTTTTTTCTTTAAAAGTGGAAGATGTAAGACAGGCAGATTTAGAAACTAAAGTTCCTCTGTTCACAGAACAGGCACTGCAAAGAAGCAGAATTGTAAACGTCCCCATTTGTCCTACAGGTTTCAAACAGTCTTGAAAGAGCCATTTCCTGGAGCCTGGTATTACTTTAGCTCAGAGGCTTATTTCTCATCTGGATATTAAAATGCATGCACTGAAAATTATAAATACTACTAACTCATTTAACATACAGGTTCAGCTAGCTGGAAGTACTTGTAGTCGTCACACACTTAGCTGTAATGCAAAGCCGTGACCCACACCAGAAGAGTAAGAGACAGTCTATCACATTACTCATCCTTCCATCAATACAAATAGCTGTTCTCCTGTTGGTATTAATGAAATAGCTAGGATAAATTATTATCTAAATAATAACTAGTTTTGTATCTATAAAAGTGAATCAGTAAAGAAAATGTTTCTTAAACGAGTGACCACTCTTTAATTTTGCTTTTTAATGCTAACACTACAGAAATTACTTTCAGAATTTTTGTATTGACACTTCTGTAACATAAAACAGGAAGTCATAAAATATGCATAGCACAAATCTACAGTATTGTATAAAATGAGGGATTTATGAAATAAAAAAATATTACTTAGCTAGATTTACAAGTCTGTTAACATTAAGGTTTAAAATTTTATTCTTAATAGAAAAGTGTGAAATTCTATTAGGGACTTAGAAGGTATAATTAAAGTTCTGATAACCTCTCAATATTATTCTAAGTATAGCCTTTACAAAGCATATACGACTTACTTTCATTAAAAATGTACTCAAATCCTTCCAGAGTATCAGGAAATTCAAGTGGTGGCTCATCTTTTTTCATTAGTTCATCCAAGTCTATTCTAGACAATAAATCTAAAAAAGGAACAGAAAAATTACATAATGCATGCTATGTCTTTTTTATTTCAGTATTATCACTGACAAAATGTGTTTGTTCAGATTTGTAGCTCTTAAGGGCAGAAGGACATCCTACATATTACTAAACATAGGACTTTGTTAAGAGAAATCTCATTCCAGATTCAAAAGCTAGGCCTCACTGACAGTATGTGTTCTTATTTATTTACTTACTTATCTATCTCTAATGTTGATCCAAAAATGTCCAGGGACAGAGAAGCCACCAAAGACATAGTGATTTGTTTCAATGATTCATTGCCCTCAATGTTAGAAATACGTCTCTGGCATGCGTCATGGTTTTAACATGAACTTATCTAGCTTCAATATCAAGTCATTGATACATTCTTGTTTGCCTTCTTGAAGAGTTATGATTATCAAATGCACATCATCTCACAGGTATTTACCAGCCGTGTGATCACAACACTCCTTAACCTTCCCTTTGATACCCAAACAGACCGAGTTACCCGAATCCTTCTCTCAACCATCCTCCTTTAATAACTTGCGAGGTAGAGAAAACTGCCATCCATTTTATAGTATGCCATGACGTACACATTCTTTTCAGTATTACCAAGGAAAAGCATTAAGTATTCTGAGTATATTGGTTTATTACCTTTACCATACAAAGTTGTAGCTCAAAGCAAACTAAACTGCTTGAAAAGACTCATTTTCTTTAAACTCGCTTTGCTTGACATTAACTATGCTTCCAACCTTTAATTACTTAAAATCATTATTTGATTAGATTTTGTATCATTATTTTTGCTTAGTCTTGTCTCCAGGGACAAGCATATAGGTTACCCACATTACCTAAGCTTAGTATTGGTACATTAATCCTTTGAAATTTCTACAGTGTTTAAAATGTACTGAAAATCAGCATCAACATTCTGGAGAGTTCCTTAGCCTGCTCTTTTATAACTTTTCAGGTTCACATAACATGCACTCCAGCGTCCATATGATTGTCCCCAGCTCCTCCTTCTCTAAGTGATTTCACTGGGTAAAGCTGGAGGACCAAAGACCATCTTCCATGGCTGCTGAAATTCAACATCTCTCCAACACATGCTATGGTATCTGAGTATCTCTGTGGTATCTAAATAGCTATACAACATCAGACAGGAAGATTTCTAAATGTGGCTTTCTCAATCATAGCTCACTTTTACATCAAACCTGTTTAACAGCAAGTCCCATGACATTCAGTTCACACAAGCAACCATTTGCTTGTTCTTGTGCACTGTCCTTTGAAAGTTCTAGGGGAGCTGCTTTGGTCCTCCACAAAATGACAGGAGAAAGAAAATAACTTTGTCAAAGAAGTTTTTCACAACAGGGTGTAAAAAGCACGCCCTTTCTTCCTCTGTACTTTTACAATGTCAAGGTAGTAAAACAGTCTTTAGCATGTCTTTCCTTGGTGAACAGACTCCAGTCACATCACACCTCTAGAAAATATCACCAGAGTTTTCATGTCTTCTTACTGTGACCTATTTGGAAACGTGTTTACGCAGAAGTGTCAGTTACTATACAATAAAATACTCATCTCCGGAGTAGCAAGGACAATATTATATGAACTACATTAAGCTTATCTGCAGTACGTACAGCTTGTCATGATTCACAGCTTCCATCAGAGTCGCTCAGGAAGACTGCAATTGGTCTGTGCTCTGACCACCAACATGGCCACTTTCTTCCTGTGCAATTTTTCAAGTTAAAATTAGCTAAAGTGTTCCTGTAACTTCGAGATTCCTTCAAGATCTGATCCACCTTTCTTGCTTAAGATCTTGACTCTCCAACTCAATTCGAGACTAGTTCAACAGAGCCCAGAACTGAGCGATCTGCAGGAGACCTTCTATAGCTCAATGGGAGTTCACTAGATTGCATGAAGAAAACAACATCCTCCCAGAAAGTCTTCATTACGTGGAATATTTCTTGGACACTGAACCTTAACAAAGATCAAATTAATGCCAACTAGAAAATGGGAGTTTTACTTTTCCAAACACGAAGTATAATTTCCTCAAAATACACTAATTTGACAGAATTAGTACAAGGTTTGAAAAAAGCACCACACAAGTTCTCACCAAATGTTTCACAAAAACACAGCTATAACTGAAGAAACACCATCTACCATCACTGTATAACAGAACTTATATTTCTAATAACACTTTGGTAGAAATCTGATTTTTACACTAGAGTTGGAAGGTATATTCTTTTTTCCTGTTTTGAAAGACAATTTAGAGGGTAAATGTGTGATGTAACCATTTTAAATCCAATGTTTGGTTAGCTTACTGATAGGTCTAACCAACTCCATGTACGTCCAAAATTGAAAAACACTATCTAAAAGATGTCATTCATCCAGTTTATTTTTTCCTCAAGAAAATTACTCCAAGTCATGTTTTTTTTAAATATACAATACCAAAACTTTATAAAATCCACACGAAAAATCAATGTCCTGAAAATATTTTCCCTGCTAACATTCTAGTCAAAGAGATTTTTAAAAGCTGCAATATGGTTGCATAATTATAAAACATTAAGTGGCACAAAAACTAAATGATTAACTCCCAGAAACCAAGAACACAAAAGCACTAGTCAACTTTCTAAAAGGAAAATTATGAAAATTTAAAAAAAAAACAAAACCAACACACAGATGTCTTATTCTGTTACCTTTTACCACCAATTGTTATTTTTTATATCATCTTATGAAAATACTGATAATGGATACACCATTGGACAAAACGCATTAGCATAGATGGACTAACAGTCTCTTCCAGTATTGCAGTTCCCAGGCTCTGACCCATAGTTATATCAAACTATTTTCCTCTCCTTAATAATTGTTTCTGAAATGTCAATATGTGTAAAGAGAAGGCAAAAAGACCCATACCTTTTAAAGCAGTAGTCTTCTCTTTTTCATCTGGTCCTCCTTGCTGGAGCTGAGCCATCATTACCCAAACTGTCAACAGATATTAAACACTGAGGGAAAAGTACATTAATCTTCGAAGGACAATCTGAAAATCAACAAGAGTTGCAAATTAACAAATTTACTGACTTCTACTTCAACAGATCTCATTTGCTACTGCTTACATCACAAAAACCCAGAACTTGTTCCAAAAGCAAAACTTCCCTGAGTATTATAAACCTCTATGACATGTAAGGTAAAATTAAAAATAACTTTTTCCTCTCATTCAAAACTTATACTGGACACTCTAAAGTCTCATCATATTATCCTGGATTAACACATTTTGCAACGAAGTGTGACATGCACTCCAATATCAAGTTTGGTTAAAGATTCAAGTTCACAAGCATGGACACTAAATTCTCACTAATCCTAAAAAGACATCGATCTAGTTGATACCTCTTTTTTTGTGATTTTAACATAACATCAGTGAATGATAAGCCTTTTGCAGAAGCACCACACTTGTAAGTCCAAAGTAGAAGATATAACAAAAATCAAAACATAACCAACAGAATTTCCACAATCTGTAAGGATTTTCTTCGTCAATTAACCCCAGTTTATTTTTCTTACTGTACTATACAGTTTTGTTTTACTAAAACTACACACAGCACAGAGTTTTAAACCACCATGATTTCTACAATACATTATCGGCATTGAAACATATAGCGTAAAAGTCCAGCTATAGAACAAACCTCAACATATTCAAGGTGAGAATGTACATGTAAAATACATTTCTAAATTTCTCCTGTTGCACAGAAGGCAACCCAGACATTCAAATTTGCATTCTCTTTCATCTTGAATCTGACACCAAGGGAGCAAACTACCACATCACAATCACCGCTTCTTCCTTCTCAATAAAAAGACTTCTGTGCATTGAATTCTTTTTCCCTTCATCTTTTTTGGTTCTTTGTTTTATCTGTCAGTCATTACCAATTTGTTTTATTCTTCTCCCCAATATACTTTATCACAGATGAGTTTGCATGAACTGTATCGCTGTAGCAATTTGTAACTTTCAAACAAAGAGTAATAGGATTCACCAGCTGTGCTCCTGGCTCCCTAATACTCACACCTGTAAGAAAGAACCCCAAAATGGTTTCTTTTAAGTAACAGTAGTTCACTGTAAAGGCAACAGGAAAAAAAAGCATAATAAAGACTATTTTCTATTGTCTTTAGAGACAACCTACTACATGAAACATTTTCCTGTATATTAAGGAAAAACACAGCAATTTAAGGGGGTGATAGTTACTAACTAAGGAGAGGGTTGGAGGGGAGGGGGGTGTTGGTTGGTTGTTTTTTTTAAGCTGAGGTTCAGGAAAGTCCAGTAATTCATTCCACAAGTCGGACCTATGGGAAACTTTCACATCTTCCCTTGCAGAAGGCTGTTCAAAGTCAGCTGATGGGAAATGACAGTACAAAATGACAGTACACTGCCAAAAGTCTTTTAAAGACAAACATCCACCAGGAAAGTTATGCTTAGATTGTCTACTTTTAAAATCATGACACAACTCAACATGATTCGGTTTAAAACGTGCATCTTTTGGCTAACACTTTAATCACGTTAGCACTCATAACAAAAGTACTCAACAAAAATAACAGCAAAAACACAGAAATTTGTTTTGTATTTTCTAGCATATAGCGTAGTCAATGTAAATATTAAAATGACTCAAACGTCAAATCACACATGTGGATGGTATTAAAGACTTTTCTTAGATGCTTACAAATAGTCCACTGACAAAAGACCACCAAATACAAAATCTTGCCCATTATCAGTTTGCACATTTGCAGTACAAAACGATGTACATTCTAGTAAATCCTTTAGAAAAAAAACTAACCCATTCCAGTTAAAATTATTAGAACTGCTAGAAAATGACAGTGATAGTGTTTTGTGATAGTCCAGATGAAAATTATTCTAGTCATACAAATTGGATAGTCCTCCCTACACAACATATGAAAATTCATAATCATGTATAAGTTAGTTAATGCAGTTACAAAATACACACAGGTGCTCAAAGACTTGTTATTACCCAAGGGAAGAAACATAAAATTTATCTGAACAAATTTCCCTTGGTAAACTAACCTCCATCCCCTAATCAGACAAACCAATGCAGAGACCAAGAATCCCTGGCATTCTTATCTCTACAGTGGATACCCTTCTTCGTTTAACAGATGAAGACTCTACCACCGAGGAAAGAGTAGGTAACAGGTTCACTTGCCAAGCTAGAAGCACCAAAATAAATAAACAAACAACAACAACAAAAAAATCTAATTTAGCTTTGAAAAAGAGAATTTCCAGTTCTTTTTGACAAAGTAAAAAACTGTTACAGCAGCCACTGGAGGGAAGACTTGATATTAGAATGAGGATGAAACAAGCACACAGAATTCTATGCATTGTTTGTATGAACACAGCATTTTGTTGAATCCCTCACTGGTATTTCTTTAAATGACAAATAGAAGAAATGAGATGAGACTGTTGGGTTTCCTTTCTTTAACAGACAGGTGCCAAATCAACTATAGTGTGATGGTGCAGAAATGTACAGTGGGAAAATTATAAATCTCTCTGAATGGTTGCTTATAGGCAAATGCAGGAATTGCAGTTTATTCTAGGCACCAGTTTCAAGCCTCAGTGATCTTCAGCTGCACACACTGACCACTCCACATAATTCACAAATACCATCATCAAGTTTCTCATAATAAATACAGATTATTTTAAATGTGTTATTCTGTACAATTACTTAGATGACTGTTTTAAAAACATCTTTTCTGTGATTGTTGTTTGCATTAGCTGCAGCAAGCATACTTCCTAAAAAACAAGTCCCTATTTCACCTGAAGAAATACTTAGAGTAAATAGGTTTAGAGTCAAGAGAATGTATATTTATTTTTATGTAACTTGTTTTCCCATGCAAACTTAAGTATTTTATCACAAGATATCTTATGCACATTCTGTGCCTCTTCAACAACTCAATGCCCAGCACTACTTAAAATAATTTGACCGCAGAAATACTCTGGTTTCATGGTTTCACACAAGACAACAACACTGCATTTTCATCATACCCCTTCTAATGCAACTACAGAACTAGTGGACTCACAAACAAATGGTCATTAAATTAAAACAAAACAAAACAAAACAAACATCCCCCCCCAAAACACCACACAAAAAACCCTCCAAAACCACCAAACCCAATAGATTTTTGCACACTTAATGGAATATAAATATATATTTCATGTTCTTGTCCTCAAATGTACTGGAAGCTTGGACCTCTGAGCTTGTGATTGTGTAACGGTGCTAGTCTTCAAACTAGACATTGTATCATATATTCAGACTCTGAAACAAATGCACACATACAGAGATTTCTACAGACTTCAATTATTCTTCATTGCATAAATGCAGCTAGAAACATGGCAAAAAAAATGTAATACATGATTTTGCTCTACAGTAGCAATACCTGAAATTAAGTCAATGCTACAAATGTTCCAAATACAGGTTATAAATAATTGTAGCACTAACCCACCACAAGTGCAAGTAAGAAGAAAACACACAAGTATTTTCAAACACCACAAGTCCATCAAATTTATCTGGACATAATGTGAACAGGAGTTATCAGAATGCTTCTTTGTATCACACTGCTTTATTAGAATACAGTTGAACTAAAGTCATCTTCTTTGTAAGCTGACATCCCAAGCAAGCTGGGGACAAGTATTGGTTAGATTAGTGCAATGTGGCTGATGACTGAAGACCCAGTTTTTCTTCAAAGAGATGGTTGGGTGACAGTTTGGCTCTAGTCCCTTCTCTGTATTGGCTCAACAAAGCAAAAAATACATACTTTAATCTTAGTAGTATTTTCGGTCTAGTTAGATTTTATCTATTCCTGCTTTTAGGGCACTACAGATGACATCAGTAACAACCGTGTCAATTAAGGCTGTATTTCACCTTCCTTCACTTACAAGGCCCTATTTTCAACTGCTTATAGGTTTGCCAAACTTCAGCTCTGAAAGCCAATTATTTCCAGTTTGCTTTAGACTAAACGGTTTTTAAAAAGTTCAGCTAAAATGTCTACCTCTTGTATAAGAGGAAGGTTCAGAGATAGTATCTTCTGCTCCATTCTGTTGATGCTAATGAGCAGCTACAGCATCTCCATGTTGCAGAGATCAGAAAATTAGCTAGAGGATCACCTTAGCAGTGTGTACCTCTTGTCATTAAAGCTGCCTAGATCTGCTCAAGTTAAAATTGCTTTTTGTACATATTTAATATAGTCTTATTAACACTTATCAGAATTTCCAGAAAATTTACCTATTTGCCTAAAGCATGCTCCATACAGCTGCAAAAAGCCAGAGGGAAGATGCACAGGAGGGAAGTAATAAATGCTAGAGGAGCAGGATCTTTAACCACCAGAATACAAAGAAACTGGCCAGGATCCTAAAGTCCCTGAATCTCAGTACATCTTCACATTCTACCAAATGGTGGTGGAACTTGCTGCTAAAGTACATGACTGCATCCGACACTAAAAGTTGATTTATTTGCACAGCAGCTACGTTCTAATGTTATTTACCCCGTAAGATCAAAAACCAGAAGGCTACAAGTTATATGCATTAGTGTCCCAACCGTGTCAGCAACTTGATTGTTTATACAAGGCAGAGTCAACACAATTCCACACACTGAAATTTTAATTACTTCAAGTTTAACTTTCTTGAAATGCTGGAAATGACCTTCATAAACATATGCATGTAAACATGTGTATTTCCCATTTTCTGGGCATTCAGCCTGAATGTTTTTCCTTCAATGTTCAGAACTACAGACTGTTTTAACAAGACCTTTGAAGAACCTTCCCTAGCTTTCCCAATCTCAGCACCCAAGACGACAGTAAGAATCCTCCACAAACAGCAGATGCTAGGGAAAATGCAACGAATTAATGCTTATGAAGAACTAACACCCTGCAACTGAAGTCTCAGAAAAAGCCCATGTAATGTATAGTAATGCTATATTCGGTGCAAGATTTGAATTGCGCTGTTCCATTAGTGCACGGGGCTACATCCCAGCTGATGAGGACAAAAAGAAT